ACACATCACTCACAAAGACAATTGGGCATGTCGGTTTTGACCCAAATTATGGAAGTAAAAGCCCAAAAGACCCGCAAAACACGTCCTGTGTCGATCTTCTCTCAAGCTCTAACGCCGATCCACCAGACAACACATTTTTCTAACTTTTGTCGATCTATTTGCAGTATGAACAAGAAATCAACAAAGCAAACTGGAAAGTCGTGATTTTGCATAGGGAAGCTTGTCACTCCCCCACGCTCTTGGTTGGCATATGACCATCATTGCATTTCTATGTGTAAATTCAGCCTTTCGGGCTTCAGAACGACAATAGCAAATCTAATAAAAAAAGCTGATATGTCTTTCTCCCTAAATCTATTGCATTCAGTCATTATCGATCTCCCTTTGTTAGTCGACGAGGTCCTACCTTCAATATATTTTCTAATTTTTCGCACCCAACCTATATTTGCCAAATTTATTTAATTTTTCTATAAACGATATTAGGTGTTATAAATCGTCTCCTTAAAATCGGCCTTGTAATCGTCTCCTTAATTATGATTGACTCCTAATGATCAACAAAATGGTGCTAGAAGGAAGGCGCCCATCAAAGGGATATCCCTCTCTAGATATATAATCTTCGTAACATTTTCCACACCTCAGTCTCAAAACCTCTTCCAGGTGACCTTTTTTGTTTTTTAATCCAAAACTGTCAAGTGTTAAGATCTGCCTAAGTAGTAAGGTTAAATAAAAAGACTTTTAAGGATTCCTATACGTAAGGGTGGAGAAGGTATAATACTCTTTATAGGAGAATCATCTTTGCAGGTGAGAAGTAAATAGATCATTTCAATCGTACACTTCCTAAACTGAGATATGGCCCAGGACCGAAATCAAGAGGGCCCGTGATGTGGCTCCTTCCCTGCCTATTGGATGTATTTTCCTACATGTATACATACTCACAAACAATAAATCATTCATAATTTAAAAAATTAAGAGCTCTTGCATAAATTTTTTAAAGTTCATAAACACATATTGTATTCTTTGATTTCTCCATGAAATACTGAGAGTTCTTCACAATATTATTGCTCAACGAAGGCTTGTATATTTGAAAAATCGCTATATACAAGTCAAAAGTCATTGTATCTTGAAGACGTTGCATTAACCGTATGTATTTTACGGAATAAGTTCGTCTTAAGGAAAACGTAACTATTACGTGACTCGACTTTAATTTTGATTTCCTTTCTTCTTTCCCTTAAACCATATATTCACATTCTGCAAAAATACACTTCCCAAATACTTTTAAGTTGAAAGTAACAAATATATAACAAGATGCCATCCAGAATTTTCCTTTCTAATTTCAGATCATTTCAGTTATATGCCATCCAAAAATACTCTACTTTTTACCTAAAGCAGATCCAAAATTAACAATACTATCAATAAAATATTTAGAATTCTAATCTAATAATAAATAAATTATAACAAAAAAAGGTAGCAAAAGGAAAATCCAGCCACGTGAACGTGATTTGTAAAATTAATCAACCACACCAGATTCCCTGCAGACCTACTTTACACATGAATTTCTACTACTACCCCTAATCCCATTTCACCATCACGCAACCTCACCAAGGTCAATCCAGTAATTTCCTCTTCACCGGCGCGATCACCACAAAACTCCGTTAATGGATATTCAAACTCCCGCTCATTCGCATGGCGGATTTTCAAACTTTCAAAATCCCTCCAGTTGAATTTACCCTTTTTTTTTTCACAAGCCCTCGTCCCCGCCATCGTCAACAAACCCCTTCTTAACGGTCTCCAGAAGCACGCAGAGACACGCTGTGGTGCGTGTTATTTGTTACTGTGTAAAGTTAATTGTCTGCGTCAGATTTACATTTGTATCTGCACAGACGGTGGAGAATCGCCCCGGAGGTTAAAAATGGCTTTGCCGTCGACATATGCAGCGTCTACGGATTCTGGATCTAGAGAAATACCTTATTGCCGCAAGCAAAAATCGCTCGGGCTCTTATGCTCCAAGTATGTGTTTTCTTGAAGGCCCTCTGGTTTGTGTTGTCATAGATGTAATTGCTTGTGCTGTTGACCCTTTTTTAATTGAATTTTAATCTGGGTTTTCAGTTTCTTGAGCTTGTATAATCGCGATGGAGTTGAGACAGTTGGGCTCGATGATGCAGCCTCGAAATTGGGTATAGCCGCTTTCCCTATTTCTTTATTTTTTGTTCACCTTTTGGGCTTTCCCTTTGACTCGCTTACCTATTTTTTTCGATTTATTATTATTTCTTGATTTTTGACTGAGATTATCTGCAGGGGTGGAAAGGAGGCGGATCTATGACATTGTGAATGTTCTGGAAAGTGTTGGCGTAAGAACTTCTAATTTTCGGACACCCTTTTGAATTTTTTGGGTGATTGTGGAATCAATTTTGAGCTGACTGTTGGAGTTTTTTTTCTCTTGATTTCAGATTCTCTCGAGGAAGGCGAAAAATCGATATACTTGGAAAGGGTTTGGGGCGATCCCTAAGACATTGGAAACCCTAAAGGTAATAGCTTTCTACTCTAATAATTTTCTGAAACTATCTTCAGTCTTCTTATTTGTTTTGATCTTTTCTCCACATTTTGAGTTGTGTTTGGTGCAGAATGAGGGCTTAAGGGATAATGGCCCCGCAGGCGATGCAAGTTGCTCTGAGAAAGTATGTCTTTGTGTCTTTTACTGTTATATTCTTCCTTTTCCATTTCCTTGTTTCTAATTTCCACTATGAATTTTGGTAAATTGAGTTTATTAGGGTTGGGGAGTTTCTATATTATGGTTGGTTTTCTGTCGTAGTAATAAATTAAACTATTCAATTTTCTTGAAACCAGGTTTCAGATGACGATGAAGATGATATGTCGGATATGAACAGTTTAAGTCAAAAGTCAGATTCTAGTTCTGTTCCCAGATATGCCGTGGCACCTAAAGCTGGTACTATACAGTCATTTTCATCCAAGCCAATGGTCTTTCTTATTGATTCATCTTTGTTTATTAATATGCTTTGGTTTTTCCTTATTGGAGAGCAGTTAAAAGTTGAATCTTTGTTCTTTTTATAGGTGACAATAGGAAGGAAAAATCTCTTGGGCTTCTTACACAAAACTTTGTCAAGCTTTTCCTGTGTACTGATGTAAGTGTGTATTTTGCTTACCTGTCTTTTGTGGTGATATCTACAAAATGAATATTTTTTTAGGTTCATATTCTGAAAATTGATTTTGCACCTTTTCAGATGGAAATGATCTCTCTAGATGATGCTGCAAAGCTCTTGCTTGGTGATGGAAAACATACATCAATGACTACTAGAAGTAATCCACCTTTTGCATTTACTTTCTTCTTCATTGTGTATGTGCTTTAACAAAGATACAAATTTACACTTTGTTAACACTGCCTTTATGCACCACTGCAGCAAAAGTTAGAAGGTTGTATGATATTGCCAATGTGTTATCCTCCATGAAATTTATTGAGAAGGTATGATTCATCTGATTCACAGTCAAGCTATACCCATTGTGTGTTTGAATACCGAGTATTTCAAATACCTTAGAAACTCATTAGAAGCAACTTATTGAGTTGTTTAAATTTGAATTATTACTCCCAAGTTATTTCCTTGAATCCAAATGCTTTATCCAAATTTTAAGCCTGGACAAATATTAATGATTTCAATCTTGGAATTTGTGGGGTAAACATTTTCCTGGATGACATGCAGACTCATCACCCAGAGACGAGAAAACCAGCATTTCGATGGTTAGGCCTGAATGGAAAACCGGACAATGGAATTACTGATTCTATGGTTTTTACTGAGTCTAAGAAGAGAGTCTTTGGGACTGATCTCACTAATGTTACTGCAAAGAGGTTCAAATTGGATGGAGGTGCTCAACATGTCCTGAAGCCACACAATCCAATGCAAATTAAGCATGAGATTGAAAGTGAGGATGAAAGAACAAGATTATCTGGAAGGAATTACCATTATGGCCCTTTTGCACCTGCCATTGTGCCCAAGGTTGGAAGTTCTCATGATGAAAAGGAAAAACAGGTTGTTGATTGGGAGAATTTGGCTTCTTCTTATCGCCCTCAGTACCACAACCAAGGTATTTTGATTTTTCTTTTTTTGTTTTGTTTTGTTTGTTTTTTCACATTACCAGAACAATTGTTACAATGCTGCACTAGTTTTTTTCCTCAAGAGGTGAATTCTAATCAATAAATACTTTTTCTGTTAGTTGTTACCTAGATGCAAGCTACAAAATCCATAAGTGTTTTTAATAATTCTAAAATCTGGTGTTTGCAGAATTTATCAAATTATGCATCAAGAAGCAACCTTAAACTGATCAATGTAGGTTTCTACCAGTTTATTATAAAAATCTTCTGTGTTTATCTTTGAAGTTCCAGTATGTATTGTCATGTGCTTTTCGAGTGTAAGTTAGACGTTTGCTGAAATGAAATCGATCTGTTTTGGGGCTATAAGTCCACAATAACTTTGACATGCTGAATGTATATTTTCATGACATACTCAATGAATCTTCTGTCTGTGAAATGTAAACTGGTGAATTAAGTTGAAAAATGATAGTCAGAATGTGTCCACAATTGTGTATATGTAGAACTGATGTAATGGCAAATCACACAAAGTGTAAACTCGTTTCTTGGTTTCTCTTCTTTTCAGCTTTGAAGGATCTTTTCTCACATTATGTTGAAGCTTGGAAATCGTGGTACTCTGAAGTTGCAGAGAAGAGCCCGTTACAACTGATGTCCTAGACGTGTTTTTTATTTCCGTTTATATTTGAGTGTTAGAAGTTTTACTAAGGGGCAGATAGCTTGATTATGAATGCATTTTTCTCAATGCATCAAGTTAAGAATCTATCATTTGTAACTTGTTCCTTTTGTTTTTCCTAGTACAAACTTGAGCTTACATATGATTTGACTGGGATCCACATTGGCATCCCTGATTTGTCTTCAATTTCGGAAAACAGTGTAAATTTAAAAGCAGATTTATCAGATGTCTTTCATATGCTGCAGTACCTTTGATTTCATTTTTGAATTCTGCTGTCTTTGATACATGATATATGTTCGTTTTAAACTAAGAGAAACTCCAAACATATCTGAAGTCCTTCGAATTCCATAATTTTTTGAAAAAATAATATTAAAAAGTTGTAAAGGTCTCTTTGAAATTTAGGCCTTTTTGGGATCATTCATAGTACTTCTGCTTGATATACTTTAAATTGAGATGAGCATGTCAGATTCACTTGAATTAAATTGGAAATATGGAGTTGGTGCCTGAATTGAACAAACAAATTTTACATCAACAANAAAACCCATTCACATTTACAGCCAAACATTTCAAGGACTTTATACCAAGTACAACTAGTAAGTAATATCTACAAGTTTTAAGCTTGTTGAGTATGCCAATGATTGGACTATTAGACAATTTTCAAGTACTACAATGTATTCACTATCAGACGATTCTCCAGTCTCTTTTGCCGTTAATGCCTTCAGCAATGTATCTCAACCTGTTAGTCAGATGATATCAAGTATTTACCATGGACATAGGTTGAAAAACAAATTGACTTTATCGAACTTCTAAAAGCATCCCAAAAATAAAATAGACTTGTCTGTATCGTATTTTTTCACTTGCTTATAGTAAGTCCGCAAGGTCTCCGTAACATGAAACAATCATTGTTATTTTGCAGAGTAAGAAAAATAAAACCCACCTTATTTGTACAGAGGATTCATCTCCTTGCCAAAATTCAAATCTCTCGGGTATGAGTCTGTATCCTCCCCAGTGTTGGGGCTTTGGGATTTTACTTCTGAAAGGCACAAAAACAAGATATAAGAGGTTGTGCAGTGTTGGATAAAACACAATCACACATTAGAAATGCCCCTTTTACATCATAAGTAGAAATCAACAGATGATTGAACCTTTAAAAACATACGAGATATTCTTGTAGTGGTTTCGATAAACTAAACTACTGACCCCTGTGGATATTTCTCCTCCAATTCTTTACACTGCTGAAGCAGATATTCTCTTTCCGGAATTTCAGTGCTCTGAAATAAATCAAAAATCGACTAGTTTATGCTATCTAGCATTTCTTTTTCTTTTTCTTTTGCAAGAAAATAAAAATGGGCCCGGAACTCGAGTGAAAAATGGACCTGCTTGCTAACAGCTGGTGCAATTTGAAGCTCTCGTGGACGGCTAGAGAAGTATTTCTCGGACTCTTCATCAGAAACTTTCTGCACAAACCCTTCAATTCTTACCTGAAAACCATGCTTAACATCTCAGACATATCCATTTAGGTTAATCAGAGTATCAAACGGTGTAGCAATGGCGTCTTGTGAAAAGTGAAAAGGATTTTACTCAACATATTAAAGAATATAATAAAACAATATTTGCCTGGCGATTCAAGGCACTCCAGTAGAAAAGAAGAGCTGCATGAGGATTTTCTGATATTTCAAGCCCTTTCCGACTTTTATAGTTACTGCACCTGCACATTTGTGAACAAATTTTATGTGTTAACACTAGAAAATAAATAAATGTGCCATTGATTATTAAGACCACAAGGGGTTCTAAGTGGTACACTGCAATGTATTTACTGTTTGGGGAACTTGTTTTCAACCTCAGAGAAGAAAATTATGAGAAAAAGGCAAAAAAGCTGACCAGACAAATCCTCCTTGGTCAACTCCCTTTAGTTGGACTATGCGCGATGAACTGCATGAATTACACAACATGCAAACTTAGTCAAAAGGTCCACTGCTTATGAGCACAAGATGGTGTTAACTGTTAAAAGTGCAAATCAAGAAAAGGCAATACAAAAGAACCAAAAAAATAAAATAAAATAAAATAAAAAATTATAAGAATATTGCACTTTTTTCCCCTTTTTTGTTCTACACGATTGACATTTACAAGATGATGATTTCTTTCTTAAAGGACTAATTTTGTCCGTCAAAGCAGCTGACTTGACAAGAACCAAATAAAGAGTGCAAAGATATATGGAAGTACTAAAGTAATTTGGTTCAATCAATTCCGTTTCATTATTATTACTAGCAAACGAAAGAAAGCAAATTGAATTAAACATACGTTTTCCCATCTTTCGTGGCAGTTGAGAGGGCCATAGCATCAGGTTCCTTTAGACCTGCTGTAACTGCATCGTTAAACCAAGCCTTGAACTGCAAGATTCAGCAATATTCTTACTGCCACATACGGGAAAATCGCACTCACTATATCCTCAAAAGAAAACCAAATATTTAAATTCAGCCACCTGAATAAAAGGATTGGCCTCCATGTCCTTCTCAAGAAACTTAGGTGGTACTGAACCGTTTTCATTATCTTGAGGCGGCTTTCCAATTCGGACACACATAGAAGTGCCTGGATAAGGTGGAAGTTGCAGCTTGTATTTGTGTACAATATATGAAGGCACAAATCTCCCACCCAAAAAGTGGTGGGGACCATGAAATGTTTTCGCGCATAGCTTTGGAGCTGTTAAAGACACCTTCACACAAAGATACTCAAGTATCATTCTAGTAGTGGATTACACAGCCTTATCATATGAAAATGGATTTTTTCATGGATAATACAAAACATCCCTTGGAAAAAGTTACCAGCATATCCGGTTTAATGCCTTCACCACTCAAATCTCCGTCTTCAACATGGCAGCCGGAAGGAATATCCACAGACACAATGACAGGTGATTTGTGATGTTCCTCGTAATAATGTTCTCTTAAGGATGCAATGTTATTTATCAGATGGTCAAAAGGTGGTCTAGGATTTCCTGTTGAATCGAGAACGCATGTGACATCATTGTACTTCTCATATACAAGAAACTAAAAAGATTACAAAAATATCAGGTGAACTAATCAGGAAGCTACCTTGGAAGGAGAAGCCAAATATTGCATCCACTAGAATGTCAAAGTTATTTAGCTCTGCAGGTAGGCATTGTATGGAAAGAAAAGGAATGGACAATGACTCGAGCTGCAAAAATAGTAACCATGAATGAGTTTTCCTTTTTTTTTTTTTAAATGAGTGAGCTCACTCATGGTCATGGCCCTCGAACATGAATATTACCTACCTGGATAGTAAGATTGGAAAACAGAGGTTTTGGGGTACGCTTGGGATAACAAATGCACGGCTTGTACCCAAAATGATGCAAATGACGTGCGGCTACAAGACCATCACCACCATTTTTTCCGGGACCACATATTACAAGAACACGGCTATATTTGTCTGGCTTGTAGACCTGTTACCACATGAAAAAGATAGTGTAAGCATGAATATGTGATTCATGAATCTCTCAATGTATTTTTTTGCTTTTAGTAGGTGTAACTGATTATTGGTATTGCAATTTGTACTTTTACCAAATAAAGGAAACCACATGCAGAATTTCCTGACTATTCCAAAACGTTCCTTTTGCTCGATATTACTAATGTTCGGAACATGTTAAACCGTTCTATGTCTGACATTGTATTGCGAGGTCATTTAGAAATCATAACAGGAGAATCCATGGCAAAATAATCAGATTGTGTTTCTTGTATTCAATTGCAAGGGTACGGGTTTGCAGTATAGGCCAGTGCCGTTTGATTTAAATAAAGGAAAGCAGAGCAAACCCATGAGTGGTTCTCTACACTGGAGAACATAAGGATCAAAATCTATAGCTTTATCATATTTTCATAACCAGAATTTATTAGGGAAAAAAAGTCCTTAAACTTCATTCACCATTTATATGGCCAATTGGAATCTTGATGTCTTTTAGACCTCTAGATTGAGACTTGATACTTTGATCAAATAAAAAAGAATGCCTTTTTCATACTCTTACAATCAAACTTCCAAGAGCTCGGATCCTATAGAACTCAAAATCTTGTCATGTGTATTCCAAATTTAAAATTTGCCTCAACAAAATCCAACAGTATGTTTTCAACAAAACTAGGCACTATAATTACAGAAAGGAAGTGAGAAATTACATAACCAAAACATAAACAGTAAATCGAGAACAATAATAACAAAACGGAAACAACAACGAGCAACAACCACCAATCAGGACATACAACTAATTCCTAATGCACTTATGTAATACATTCATTCTCTCCAGTAAATGAGGTAGACGTAAAGGAAAAAAAAAAACAAGAAAAAGAAAACCCAGCTCGAATAACAACTGACATCAGCTATTGCAGATGCAATACTCACACCAGCAAGTTCCTGCAGTTCGAAAAGAACCCATGAAGAAAATCAACCATTAACAAGAACTTCAAAAAATTCCATCTTTAAGCGAAAAAAAAGGATGAAAATCGAAGTGGGTCTTGAACAAGCAGAAATCTTTTGTAACTACTTCAAGTAGATAAGAACCATGAGCTGGTCGATGCTGAAACCGAGTTGACCCGTTAGTAGGTCATCGATTTCCATAGCTTGTTGCTGAGTCAGAAAGGATATGGTCTCTCCCTCTTGGTCCATTGTCTCTGACTGTAGTTTCTTCAGTTTGTAGCAAAATTAACCTATCAGGTTTACAGTGGCTCAAGCATCAGCTCCACATACTGCCATATTTTTCCTTCTAATCAGAAGTTATGATTTCGAAAGTGAGTTTGTAATATGGTTTAGCATTTGATCCAAGTGCAAAAGTGGGGAAGAGAGTTCTGGACAGTGTTGGACTGTAGTGGTGCTTGTAGAATTGTAACTGGAATTTTTGTGTATTGTGGGGGGTAATTGGGTCATTTAGTTCACTGAATTTTTAACTTTTTAATTTTATTATTGTTATTATTTCTTTTTCTTACAGAAGACTGACTTGGATAACAATGGAGAATTTTTTGTGCTGCTTTTACAAGCAAAACAAGCTACAACCTTCACTTCAACTGTAATTTAAATATAAATATTTTGGGTTTAGGCCTTGTTTGGTAATGAGAAGTTAACTGTTAATTGTTAGCTGATTGTGTCAGCAGTTTTGACTAGCAGATTTTGTCAATTGTTTTGACAAGCGAATGGAGTTAGCGATGGTTATAAAATTATTTGGTAAATTAGCTTTGTAAATAACTGTTAACATGCAAAATTACTTAAAAGGACATTCATAAACTTTAGTTTCTTTTTAATGTTAAATTTATAATTACTTAGAAAATGTAAATTATTCATATTTTATATATTGTAAAGTAATTCAAATTAATATAAAAATAAACACAAATAATAATTAACAACAACATTAACCCCAGTCTCTTAAAATAAGATAACTATTTTGTTATTAAATCACTTTTTTCTTCTTTTCTAGTCGCAGGCCTCTTTCTTTTTAATTTTTATTACAATTGAAATTATAAAAAAAATGTTGGTTAGTTTAAGGTTATTATAAGGTAAAATAATAATTTAAGACCAACATTTTTGGAAATACAGCTATATATTTGACAAAATGTTTGGTAATACTCAAATTTAAGACCAGCATATTATATTTACAAAATGTTTGGTCCACTTAGAGTTAGAAAATGTTGATAAAGCCGGTGATCCGCACAAGTGCATTGGTTTATCAAATTGAGTCATAAATACTACCTGAACTTTTTTTTTTNCTCTTCGAATTGTGTTTCAATTTTCGTCTCGTATATTTGCCAAAAGGTTACAAAAAGGTCATTTTTGCAACAAAAAAGTCATTTATGTTATGTAAAAAAAAGGTTTCAATTTCATCCCTTATGTATGAAAATGACCTATTTGTAACCTTTTTGCAAACATATGAGACGAAGATAAAAAACGCAATTCGAAGAGGTAGGGTTGTTTCGAAACTACCTTGTTGCGAAACAAGTTTTAGATAATGATCAATTAATTGTTGAAAAATATTAAATTATTATAATTATTGCTTATGCAAATTTAAGATATTTTATTATGACATTAAAATAAATAAATTTATTTAAAAAACAGTCGTTTAATCAGATAAAAAAATATAATGTAAATTTTGAATAAATAACTTGAGCAAAAAGTTTTACAATAGAATTTTTTATGTTATGTAACTTTCAATATCATTTAGTGTAAAATATATTATTAATCCTAATAATAACTATTATATAATATAATTAAAAAATATAATTATTACTCGATTAATATAAAATGTAATAATCTTTGTCTTAATTAACATAATCATCTTTTAGAAAGTTAGTTGCTATGTAGATATAATTTATGTAGATATAATTTATGAGGTAAAATTTATAAGATTTTATTTAATGAATTGCTAGCTATTATCCCAAAAAAAAAAATAAAAAAAAAATAAAAAAATCTCACACAACTCTAATTTAACATTGATTTTGTTATTTTTATTTATTTATTGTTTAATCTTGTAGACCTTTTAGTTTGATTGGGATACAATCTAAGCCGACAACTGAATACCTTCACCAGAGGCCAGCAATGGAGTATTTGCTCCCAACGCTGAGAGAAAAGACAGAGGTCGACAATCTCATCAGAGACACCTTGGACAAAGTCCTCGTCCTTCGCTTTGGCCGCTCCTCTGACGCCGTCTGCCTCCAGCTCGACGACATTGTATGTTCCTTTCTCCCAATTTTTCTTTTTTTATTTGGGGCTGGATTTTTGCGATTTGCTTACTAATTGATTGCATTGGTAGCTGTACAAATCGGCGAGGGACGTCTCCAGATTCGCGACGGTGGCGCTGGTGGATGTTGACTCGGAGGAGATTCAAGTTTACGTCAAGTATTTCGACATCTCGTTCATCCCCTCCACCATTTTCTTCTTCAATGCTCACCACATGAAGATGGACTCAGGGTATGAACGCACACCCTCGTTAATCAATTGCTGTCTGGAGTATCGACTACAGTACATTCTGTTGTGAAAGTAGTACACTCTTTCGTGCTATTTTTCTGATTAATTTTCCATTTTAAGGACTCATTTGGTATCCAAAACTAAGATTGAGCCAAGCAGAACTGGAATTGTGTTTTTTTTTTTCAAAGATACGAATGTTTTATGAATGATTTAAGATGGGTTTTGTTGAGATACTTTCTGTTTGCACCCTCTACATGGGAAGTAGTACCTTGTTTGAATTTGCTTATAGTTATTCCCCACTTCTTGCAGAAGTGCAGACCACACTAAGTGGGTCGGTATATTTCAGACGAAACAGGACTTCATTGATGTTGTAGAGGTAATCTTCTACTGAATATTCAAGTTATCGTGTTAATTTTCGTAATAACATGATCTCGACGTCCTATAATTCTGATTGACATATGTATAAGAAGTCTGAGTAGGATTTGATATTCAGGTTTTTTTTGCTATATTCCTCTCGGTGCACGAACAACACTGATTAAATATCTGTTTAATCACCTTATGACTTTGGTGCATGAACACCAAACAATCGATCCTTTCCAGTTTTTTCCTATGATATCAGTTTCTATTTTTTTTTTTTGGGAAACTCTGCCTTTCATGAAAAAGAGACTAGTGACAACTTCTAAGTTCTTTTCCAGGGAGCTAATCTTTAATAATGCCCTGCCGAATGTCATGTATATCTTCTTGTAAAATAGTGACCGAATAGGGAATAAATATTTGGGCGAGCTTATTAAAACTTGCAATACAACTGAATGTTAGGCTTAGATATTAGGAAAATGTTGTTTGTATGAGGTGCGTGTATGAGGTTTTTAGCTTCGTCTGATTACAGGCAATATACAGAGGAGCAATGAAAGGCAAGCTGATCGTAAGTTGTCCACTGCCCCCAGAGCGTATTCCAAAGTTTCAGTTGCTGTATAAGGATGTATAAGAGTATAAAGATGTATAAGAGGTATTGTTTTAATGTTTTTAGGAGTTCATATAGGGTTTCTATATTTCTGTTTGTAATTATTTAAAGATGACCCCATTTGTTATTTGAGCTTATGTTCTGTGCTGTAATTGAGGAAAGTTAATGCATATTTTCAGATTCTTGATTTCTGTGTGTGAATCGTATGGCGGGTTGTTCTGTTCACGATTTAATACAGAAGGCCCATGCAATACATAGATGACCACTAAATAGACAATAGGACTCCATTAACCGAGCTCTATCTAGATACAGTTTTATGGAAATACAGCTATAATTCTCGATTACACTTTGGATCATTTTGTTTTTATCATCAGCCCACTAAGCTGTTATGGCAAGATGTATAATTTATCTATATAATTTTATTGTAATTTCATACACTTAAATTTAATTTATTTTGATTTAGTAAAAATCCAACTATTTATATTGATATCAACAGTTATATTTATACGAATAATGTTTATTGCAATTTCATCAAAATTTTCATTAGCATCATTGATAGCACCAGTCCAGTGTTCGGTTCCCAAAGTTAGTTATGGGCTATTTGTGAAAAGCCCGAAAAATAGTCCACTAACTTTTTTCTACATATATCATATCTGTCTATGTTATAATTATATTAGAATAAGTAAAGATGTCTATTTCTTTTTTAACAAAAAGTATATATACTTGGGATATAATCTCAATAATCGAGTACTACTACTCCTGAACTTTAGGAGAAATAAAAATTATCACACAAATTAACAACCTCGAAACCGTACTTGAATTTTCAAAAAATTATGTACAACTACTTTAAAACCACTTTTTTTTTTTTTTTTTTTTNTTTTTTTTTTTTTTTTTTTTTAATTATTATATATGTGTAGATCACATCACTTGTTAATTATAGTTTTTTTGTCCACCCTAATTTCCCAAATATACTCAGTAGATGTGCCCAAAAGTTCATACAAGATTTGTTAGAACAGTAACAGGGACATCGATAGCATATATAACCCAAGTTAATTAGACGAATGGATAATTAATGTAGGGTAGATTCCTTTACTTTCGGTGAGGAATTTTGTAGGTCAAATGTAGCTTGTCCCATTTATTGAAATGTCATTGCAAATATTCAGATATTAGCTTTACATTTTCTTTTTATCAAATGATTTGGTATCAAGGAATCTAAAATCAGATATTAAATAATTGAATTATACAAGTTAAAATATAATTACAATCACTTCAAACTTTAATTTATTTAACTCCTATAGATTAAATCTAATAGTTTGAAACGTATTTAACAGCAATTTAATCCTTCTCTAATAAATCAAATTAAATGTACCAGAAAACAGTAAAAAGATAATTTATTCTAATTAAATAATGATATACATAATACATGCATGCATATATATGTTGTGTTCGTGTACATATGCTTTTGAGCTAGAGAACGTGTAATAATGTCTTATGATATGCAGTTACATGCAAATTACTTTCAACTCAACTGAAAATTAACAAACTATTTTCATTCGGTTCTGTTGAATTTTTTTACAGTACTGAAATATTCATTGAAAATTTATGATGGAATATTACTATTTTCTTATGGTGACATAAGTTGAAATGTACTACTTACCAATAGCTTCAGAAAGTATTTTGCTTTTGTTTATTATTTACTAGTTATTTGTTTATTTATTAATTTTGGTGCCAGTTCAGTCAGTTACTTGTATCAAACAAAAGAAACACTCACACAAAAAGACGAGTCATGTCAAACATAATTTTTCCCATGTTAATGATGATACGACGTGACAATACATACGTATGGCATAGAAGAGAACCATATTTATCGCAAAAAATAGAATTTTGTTAAAAACCCGATATCACGTCTAAATAATCCCGCAACAGAATTGAAGATTAAGAAGCCTATATAAAGATAATAAACATACAAGATATAGAAAA